AAAGGCTATCAGCTGGAATTAAATACCCTTCATTGTACCAAGAGGCATCCTTCTATTTTTAAGAGTCTTTGAAAAGGATGGGTACTATTTTTTTAAAGACCTGCACCAGCCCTGGTTCTTAAAAAAAAAAGTATCCTTATCTGTAAAATGAGATGAGGGAGATGGTGGAGAAGGAAATATAATAGTAACTACTTCACAGAGCTGTTATAAGGATTACATGAGCTGACAGGTGAGATGTGCTTGGCAGGTATGATTGCTGTCATAGTTCCCAGCCAGAGGCTGTCTGGACACACTGCTCCCCTCTTCCAGGTCAGGAGACCCCAGGCTTCTCCCTTACTGCTCATCTCAAGGAGGGGTAGCCAGCAAGGATTCCAGGCCCCAGAAGTCAAATGTTGTTGTTGTTTTTTAAAATATATGTTGAAATGAGCTCTTGCTATGTTGCCCAGATTGTTCTTGAACTCCTGTGCTCCAGTGATCCTCTCACCTTGGCCACCCAAAGTGCTGGGATTACAGACACGAGCCACTGCACCTGGCCTCAGATGCTCTTTTCAGGTGAAGTTTATCCAAAAGCCACAGGGTGTGCAGTTGGGAGGCTGGATACATTGGGATGCAGACCCTCAGAGAAAGACCAAGAGTTGGAGGACCTTGGGCATCCTGCCTCTGCCTATCCAGCTGTGGAACCTCAGCATGTCACTGGACTCATGCACAGCCTGTTTCCTGAGGGGAACGTCTCTGAGGCCCAGCCTACCCACTACAGTCAGCTGAGCCAGGGCAGGGCAGCTGGGCCAGAGAAGAGGACTCTTTTTTTTATTTTTTTGAGTCAGGGTCTCACTCTGTTGCCCAGGCTGGCGTGCAGTGACATGATCACAGCTCATCACAGTCTCAACCTCTTAGGCTCAGATAATCCTTCTATCTCAGCCTCCCAAATATTCAGGACTACAGGCACACACCACCATGCCTGGTTAATTAAAAAATATTTTTTTTTGTAGAAACGAGGTCTTGCTACATTGCCCAGGCTGGCCTTGAACTCCTGGGCTCAAGCAATCTTCCCACCTTGGCCTCCCAAAATGAACCACCATGCCCAGCCAGGAGAGGACTTTTTAGATAACAGTATGGCCTTCCCGAGCAGACTGAATCTCTCCAGAGCCACCACATTACTCCTACACTACTCTTCTCTTGCGTATGTACCTGAATGGTGTACTTCTTTGAGGGGCATAGGCAGGACCAGTTAATTTGTGGGCCCCAGTGCAACATGAAGATCTGGGTCCTTTGTTCTACAATGTTTAAGAATTTCAAGATGATGACATCAGAGCATTAGGAGTAGGGCTCTTCTAGACACAGAACCCTGTGGTTACACAGGTCTCACAACCATGAAGCCAGTCCTGGAGGTAGGGACAGACACACCCTGGAATACTACCTATTAAGAACCAGGGACAAGGAACTTCCTTGCTGTGGTGGAAACCAATAATGCAGTCATGGTGCTATGCAGGTGGAGGCCTGGGATCCTGTAGGTCATGGTTTCATCCTCATAGGAAACCTCATCTGGAGGGTCAAGCTGTCAGGACTGTGAGAGAGTCAGAGTGACATCTGGGTCTCTGGTGCTGAGTTAGTCTTGCTCTTCCTGTATTTTGGGTAAGTGAACTCCTAAGGTCCTAAGTACCCACTTTTGCTAAGCTTGATAGAGTTGGGTTTCTGACATTTACCACTGAATACAGCAGTGTTAAAAATTTTGGGCTTTATCCAGTAGGTGGGAGAAGATTTGACTCCCTTGCGTAGTGGTAGATGGAGCCAGGGAGCAGAGGGCAACAGAGTCCTTTGTTGGACAAGACCGAGACTGTGACACTTAATAAGGCCCTTTTGAGAAAGGGAGTCCACACTGAGTTGTTAATCCAGGACTCCAGGTGAACTACAGAAAACAAAGTCTAGAATCAAATATAGGAGTGAGATGTAGGTGTACACCTGAATTCTGGAGGCTGAGCTAGGGGACCCTCAGAGTCTCACGCCTCTACCAGTCTCGCCTCCAGGGGGTGCTGCTCCTTCCTTATGGTTTTGGCCTAAGGATAGTCACCCAGTCTCTACCTTATCTGAGGAAGGCTGGAACATTTAAAAACACTTTACTAAAGGCTTGGGAGTACCAAGAGAAATAAAGATGAGGAGGCTCCTAAATCTGGAGATGGCCAAGAGCGGCCTTGCATCTGGGGCTGGCTGGACACCTCTCTTCTAGGGGCAGAGAGGGTGTCCAGGGAGTTTTCCTTTTTAGTCTCTCAAGTTCAGACGGGCTCTGTCTCTTTTCATTTCCCCCCATTCCTTCTGGAGTTTAGGGGTAGGAGATATACCTTTAGAACAAGGAATTCCACTTTTAGGAGTCCAGGCTACAGAAAAAGGTACATTCAAGGATGTTCACTGTGGCTGTAATTCTGTGATAGCTGTGTGTGTGTAAAATATGTTTTATGTTGAAATAGATCTGGAAGCATAGAGTCCAAACTGCTAACAATAGTTACCTCTATGGAAGGAAGGGAGTGGGAAAGGAAGAGAGACTTTCCTTTCCCTCCGTATGCTTTCTGTACATCCACTTAGTTTGAATTTTTACTATTTTTCCGGCATTTATTCATGTGTAAATTATAGAATATGTAACTTTAAAATGATGAGAATCAAAATTGTATTTTACAAAATTCTGAAAGTCAGAGAAAAGAATAAAAGCCAGATGCCATAGATTTGTAGGGGTGTTGATCCCTATATCATTTCTCCCACCGGTTTTCAGCAGTCTGGGGGCAGGACTGGCAGAAGGTGATGTTAAGTTGACCTAGGGAAGGCAGCTAAGACTCAGGGGCTCAGTAGTTATTCTAGGCATTTGACATCAGTCAGCCCGTGTAATCTCTGTGAGGTAGATATTAATCCTAGATTTACGGTGGGGGAAAGTGGCTGGGAGAGATGAAGTCAGGTCTAGGAGATGGCAGGGCTGGAATCCAGACCTCAGGGTGCGGGAGCTCTCCTGCTAGCGGTTGCCTCCAGCCCACTTCAATGGGGGAAGACAAGGTGAGGAGTAAAGAACTGGGCGCCAGTGGCACAGTCTTTGCATGGCTGACCACTGGTTAGAGAAGGAAGTGAAGCCAGGAAGGGGACTGGCTATCAAGGATCAGCTTCAGCGGAAGAGGTGTGGAAACAGCAGGTTTAGATTTTAGATGAGCAAAGCTGGGGGGACCCAGCATCTTCATGCATCTAATGAACTGGGAGGGGGATTGTGAGGATGAAGTAGTCTTTTGGGATGGACTGACCTGCAACCCACAAAACTGTGGTATTCCGGGGTTTGAGGGAGGCTGGGCTAGGTTCCTTGGTTTGTCTCCTTTCCCAGCCACACTGACCTCATTCCCGAGTCCTCAACTATGCACAGAAAGCCAGGTATGGTGGCTCATGCCTGCAGTCCTGGTACTTTGGAAGGCCAAGGCAGGAGGATCACTTGAGGCCAGGAATTTGAGGTTACATGAGCTATGATAATACCATGGAACTCCAGTCTGGGTCACAGAGCGAGACCATGTCTCAAACCAAAACAAAACTGAAGTTGACATTCAACTACATTTCTGAGCCTGACGGGGTGGGCGTCGGTAGCTCAGGTTGGGGATCCTTATACCCAGGTGAAATGGATTGGGGCTGCTTGTGGAGTGTGCTCTACTTCATGACACAGAACCCTGAGACTCCCATGTGACTGGCATAGTAGGTGGGGGCTGCAGGCTTTTCAGAATGACTGAAATTGTTCATGAGCTCCTGAGACATTTGCTGGGGGAGGGATTCTTTGCAGGAGCCTGGGAGTCCCTGGTGAGTGAGTGGGTGGTACACACCAGTGAGGTTTCGATTGATCCTGTCACTGAGGCTTGGGAAAACTCTGGTTTCACAGGGTAGAGAAGTGCTCAGGGACCTCAAGTTGCAAGTTATAGCCAGGGAAGAAGGGGTGGGGTGGAATAGAGCTGAGGGGAAGGGTTTGTGACTTCTTGGAGTGACTGACACAGGCTGAGGTTCTGGGTTTGAGAAAAAAATGGACACTCTGAGATCCCAGAAGCAGGCAGATCACTCCTGTCCTGTCTGCTTCTGTATTGTTCATAGTCTCAGGTGTCAGTAATTCTGGGGTTGCCAGATTGCAGAGCTGAGAAATGGTCAACAGTTTTCTGAGAAGAGAGGGCAAGTGACCAGCTCAGGAAGGCACAAGGCAGCCCAGCAGGCCAGAGAGGTGGGGGCAGGGCACACGCGGCTCACAGGGCTTTTCATCCAGCTGATCCCCCAGCCCTAGTTCTCACCCCCCTGATTTTGTACATGGCTCAAGGACTTCCAAGGGGAGGCTGGACACCAGGTCCTGTCTGGCAGGGGAGGGCCAAGAGGGCTGGAGTCCCAGGGGCGGCAAGGTCAGTGCCCAGAGTCTTCAAGGCCAGGCTTCTCTGCAGGGCGGGGAGGGACAGCATGCTTGAGACTTCCATGAGCCCTGTTGGTTCAAAGCATTTTCTCCATGAATTATTCTTTATTTACAGGGATTCAGATTTCACTTGGAAAAATTACTTCCTAAAATTGCAGATCAAGGGCAGAAAACACTACAATTTGGGTAGAATAAGAGGTGATGTGAAAAATCTTTTCCTGTGTTTTTCAAGACCACATCGAGCCAGAGGTACTTTTTAGGCGGAGAGGCATACGTACTATGTATGATTGCTTGATGTGCTTAAACCTGACAATGGAGCCGTGCTAGTGATTTGGGCCAGTTTGGCCAGCGACAAGCGCGAATAGAGCTGCTCTCGGGTTACCCCGCCTTTTTGCTCTGCCGCCGTCGGGAAGCCGCCTGCTGCGCACCTCGGGCCAGAAAGATCCAGGCTCGAGGGAGGCCAGGGCTGCCGTCGGGGCCTCGGCATCTGAGTCTGTGCCCCAGTCCCAGAGCAACAGCAGGGACTCCAGCCCGGAACACGCCTCCAGGTCTTCACAGTCGCCGGGCCCGGGGTCGCTTCGGGGCCGTGCTCGGAAAGGTGCGGACCGCGGGAAAGGAAAGGAAGGGGCCGGCTGCACCGCTCCAGGGTCTCCACAGACCCGAAGTGCGGGGAGGGTGGGAGGGCTGGCGGGGGTTCGAGGCGTCCCGCTCCAGGGTACCTGATGGGCACCTGGGGACGCAGCCCTGCAGCGGATGGGGGAGGAGCCCCAGCCACAGAGAAGTTAAGTGACTGGTCTAAGGTCACACACAGAGCTGGTAGCGGTGTGTGCCCGGCGCATCGGGGGTCCCGGCAGGCCCCAGCCCGTCCCTGTGTACGCCCCTTCCCCAGTTCTGCTCCTGCCAGTGAGAAGCCTTTGGAACCTGACGCCCTACCGGTCCTGTGGTTAGGATGAGAGGAGGCCGGGCGCCCAGCCTGCCACCAGCTGCAGCCCCGCGGCCCCCGACGCCAGTGAGGTCCCGGGCCTGGCGCTCCAGGTCCTGTCGGCGACGCAGCGCACGTGGACCGCGGCCCCCGGCGAAGACTCCCCGACCCCACCAGCCTGGGGCCGGGGGTTCGGCGCCCTGCTCACCGCACCCCAAGGGGAGGGTCTTCCGCCAGCCTCTTTTATGGATGGCAGCTCCCGGGCTCAGACCCAGTGACCCGACTGAGGTCACGCGGCTGCTAAGCTACGGAGCCGGGATTCGAACCTGCTGGTCTGGGCTTCGGCGGCCCCGGGCCGGAGGCGGCTGAGCGTCCCTGGGCAAGTCCCTTCCCCGCTCTGGGTGGTCTGGCCGAGCGCCCCTCGGGTTGCGGCCGCGCATGCTCGGTGGCGGGCGGCACCCGGAGGAGGTGGCGGCGCCCCAGCTGCTTTGCATTG